ATAAAAGAAGCATTTATCGAAGAAGTAAAACTTTATCGAGACAAAGTCAAGATTCTGACGTTTATTTCATTGCTATAAAATTAACATTGTCTACTGTTAACGAACAAAAATAATATGTGTTGAGACAAAACTTTATACAAGGTGTCTGGTAAATCATAGTAAGGGAAAATTGAGAAAATCATGTACCTAATATATTTTTTCTCCAAACAACAAATCAGAGGGCAAAAAAGGGGACATATGTTAATTTCAAATTTTCGTCCACCTTTCTGTTTCTATTTTAATTAATCTTCAATAGATATATACCACGTTTCAATTATCAATTAGAATAATATATAGGGTTATTTAAATAGAAGATCGCATGTGTATGAAAACCTTGAATAGTCGATAATGGCCTAGAGCCCATCAATCAGTTGATAATACAAAACGATGACGTTTGGAGGAATCGTATTTCCCGTACCTGCCACCGTTCGACTTTCTACTCGTTATGGGATTAAACCACGAACGAGTATAACATACCATCGACATACATCGTGATTCACCGAGGTATTTTAGACTAGCGTGATTTACAGCACTAGTTTCTCTTGAGAACACACCGCTATTTTCCTTTATTCTTTCGCCGAATTTATCGCCAAAATATTCGGCACGTTTATCAAAAATTTTCAGACAGTAGTACAAAGTGACACGCACTTTTATCGAGCAATGAAACACCGTCGGATTTTTTGTATTCTTATCATATTCGAGATTAAAAAATGTGATGTTACGAGCATTGGTGTTGATAAATCTTAACATGTTCCATGGATTTACGTTGAAATAATATCGTTTCTCTTACAATTTAGTGAGACTGCATGGAAAAAGGATTTCCCAAACGCAACTGTCCATTACGTTTCAGTAGATCATACAAAGTTGCTGAGTTTTAGGCACTTATCTCAAGCAAACTGCACCTAATTACACACTGAAACAATTTGGAAACTTTGTTGAATTTTGGATCGTGTTACTTTCTGACTTCAACGGAGAAACAATCTATTTATAGGCGATGCAAAATGATTTTGAACAAAGTTTCTTTGTTTTCAAAGGTCTGAAAATTGAAGCTAAAGAAACTTGAGAATACAGACTTTTTACAGATTTTGAAATTTTTATTTATTTTTGTTAAATATAATTAGACAATTAACGACGTACCGTGCGCTCTTAATTGGTTGTTCAGAACAGCCGACGCTGACGATGCACAATGTTATACCGATAATATCAATACTTTACTAACAAGGAGAACTCCCTAAGTGCACCGCTCACTTATTAATGGAACTTGGCCAGCTTATAGAGTTCGTCAGACTAAATATGTCTATACCGCACTTTAGAGGCAGACGGTGAATTGTTTACGAGATATTAACAATTAAACTCAATTAAGCCTTGTATTCCATACATACAGGGTGTCTTAAAAATTAGCTCCACGTTTCATTTTTAAACAACTTCATTTCTTCGCGAATATGCTCTTTAAGTCGTCGAACTGTTGTTGGTTTATCAGGCGTAGACCTTGTTTTTTAAGAAATTTCAAAGAAAGATATCGAGGGCTGTCAGGTTTAGCGATCTCGTTGGCCAATCGATGCTAGCAATTTTCTACCAAGTTCAAACGGCCTGGAAACATGCCTTTCAGAAGTTGGTATCGTATCACATGCCCTAATGTTGGAACCACGTGTTTTCTAGACCCAACTCGTTCACTTTGCGTGATAAGAAATTTGGGAACATGTGTCGTTAAAATATTGTGCTAAACAGAGGGCTTGAAATACTCAATTCCAGAGCACGATGGCGGACAGAGGTGTTCGGTTTCTTGTTCAACGCTGTCACGCAAGCTTCGAGAATGTTTAATTTTAAAAGCAAAAATTTCAAATTTTAATTTTAATACGAAAAAGTTTTAAAACGCCGAATCGAAATATTTTGCGGCCACGATAAAATCTACCGCAGTAAAAGGGTCAAAAGAGTGGAGTGATCCGAAACGTACGCTTTCTGTGTATTACAATTGTACGTCACTTTCAAGTAAGTTTTACAAATTTTTACAACATTCAGATTTTTAAGTGAAAAAAAATTACTTGCCTATCGACGAGAATGTTTTGGAATTATTTGATATTTTTGTAAAATGGTAGCTTACCACACTTTCTCCACGGTCTGAAGGAGATTTGATCGCATTGCTTGTAGCCTCTTGCGAATCCATTTTCAGATTTTATGTCGACGATCTTGTCACCTCTGATAAAATATTTCTGTATAAATCTGTTGCGTGTCGATGAAAATCATTGTATCACAGAGATTGTACAATTTCGTATATGTGCTGACAGTTTCATCGCGTCTACGCTGTGTTCAATGAAGCATACCGAATGGAAAATACTATTTTTCACATGGAAATCATCGTACGTGGGAATAAACGATGCCCGAGGAAGCTTGTTTAACGAAACCATTTATTAACGAACTAATTCGGTGCTTTGAATAACTACGACAGCTTTGTTTTGGAAGTCTTCCAAAAATTAGGCGTACAGATTATACATTCGTACAATTCCTATAGACACGAACCAGCTGAAATAGTTCGATGTCTTTAATACTGTGAATAATTAACGATAATTACGGATGCAATTTACATGATTATTACGTCGATCATTTTGATACTTTGCTTGTGGTGCGTGTAACAGCAATCTCTTCTCTACCATCTGTTAAATACTCTTCAACTTGAAATTATCTCGCGTTTTAAGTGCTTAAGAATACGTAAATAACTTACTAATCGAACGTGACGTTATCACAGCGTTGCAGTCACTGTGAGTGATTTAGTAAGCGAATATTAGTGTGACTATTATTACTCTAAGTTTGAACGTGCTGCGATACAGGTGAGTTTGATTTTCTAATTCATTTTTGTGAATTTTATTTAATGAAGTGAACCAAATAACGGTCCTAATGACATGCATTGCAATTTGCAATAAGTACTTCGTTATTGTTTTACATTTTCGTTTTAAAATACGTACTCCTATTATAGACATACGAAAAAATAAAAAGGATTTAATTCAAAGGGTTAAATATTTAGATAAGCGGAAATGTTTTTTAAGATTATTATTTTAGGTGAGACAATTTTCTCGGTTGTTGGTATGTAATTATTTCAGGCGTGAAAGATTTACTAGAAAGTAGTAGTAAGTAGACAATGGGTGTAATGCACGCAACCCCTCCTAATTGTAGAATGCACGAAAAATTTTACAAATAATTTTTTTTTTTTCGTTGGCGGTCACCCATCTTAACATTAGTCGCGAGGAATGGTAGCTTGACTTGGAAAGCTACCGACGAGTCACCCTGCCCGCTCCCCAGTTCTCCCAGGATAAACAAAACTCCTTTCTTATATTATTTAAAGTCAGAATAATTATAGTAAATTTACTAGAGTCATTTGACATAAAGTAGTCACTTCTAAGTCACACGGCGTTACAAAGGATTAAATAAAAATCTCCAATTGAATCGAAATGTTACACGATCGAATAAAAACCCAGAATGAATTCAATTATTTCGACGAACCACTTTTGCATGTTATTCAACGAAGAACAGTAATCGTACACAGGACAACCGAGAATTTAAAATTGACGAGCACGTGAACAACTCTTCAGGCTCTTCACTTTTCTCCTTTTCCCTTTCTTTACTTTCGCTTACACGATCTTTCGTCTTTGCGATATCAACGCCAGGACAATAAGTTATAACCTTAACACGTTCACTGTCCCCTATGACCCATCTATGGGTCACCGTACTTCCTACTCACGTCCCCTGACCTACATATCGGTCAGAAGAGTCTGAAATCAAAAGTCATATACCACTTTTCATATAGAGGGCAGTTTATGCCGAAAATTCTATATTGATAATTAAATTACGAGTGTTACTTACATATAAGGAATAATTCAATCGAACGTTATAATCAATTAAATAAAATATTTAAAGAAACAATAAGAAATATATTAATACTTCAATAGCATTATGGAAAGCTCAATACCCTATTTTTTAAGACTGTTTTATTTTAAGGCAGTTCGTGCAAAGTGGTTTATTGCACACTTTGCATTCAGTATTCATTTCTTTTTTTTTGTCTTTTGGGCTGCAAATTTCTAATCGTGTTAGCTACTTTGGACAACATTTTTCTAATCTCTTTTTCCACCAGCTGCTTTTTGAATTTCTGTCAGAAAATCCGACAAAAAGTTAATGAGAATCTAACGAAGAGGTAGGAATAAAGAACGCGGTTTGTTTATAGACCACGCTTATCGCTTTTTTTGAACGTGAGATTAAAGAGTATGTTTATATCCCTCAGATACGCGAGACAAGTATTGCTTGCTTGCACGTGTGAGAGGAGAGTGCATTTTCCTCTCGAACTGTGAACATGTTAACACGTTTGCTACCACCGGTTCTTTTGAAGCATCGCCCGCTACTCTTTGTATTATTTTTGCCTACGTTCTTAACACATGTATCTACATTTTTGTCAGTTCTACATGATACAATATACGCCGACACTTATGCACATGTAATATGTATTACATATGAAAATTATGCGGTTTGTATAATATATTGGATATAGATAACAGCGATCTGTCGTTAGAAATGGCGCGTCACAGAATACGAAAGCAAAAGTCAATTCATTTCACATCAATATAGGATATTTAAAAAGAAATTTCAGAATATCGCGATTCCACAAAAATTAGGGAAGGTAGAAGCGAAAGTAGATTCATTTTACATCAATATAAGGTATTTAAAAAAAATTTCCAGAGTACTGTAATTCCACAAAAATGACAAAAAATGGAAGCAAAAGTAGATCGATTTTACATGAATATTTCGTGCAAGTGAAATCGTGATACTTTCCAGAAATCTGACTGTCAAATAGCGCAATTTTACTTCGTCCAAATTCATTTTTCAATATTGTCACCGATGACATCACGTCAAAGACTTCCGTTCCTATTTTCCACAGAGACCGAGAAACAGGTCACGTACAGCATGTCTGTACAACACAGCAAGTGCTCATTCCAGAAGTTATTGATCCGACCCGGTGAGCGTGTTCGACTCCGTCGTTTATATGCACGCGGATGCACATCGTGTAATACGGTTAAGTTAACTCGTTAATGAGTGCACGCGTCATAAAAAGCTTGACACGTGTCTGTAACGAGTGTCACGCGGGCCATTAGTAGAGTCGAATCATTCTGCGTAAAAATGATGCGAGAACGTTCCTCCGCCACCCTTAGTTTCCGATCGACGAGACGTCGGAACTTGGTCCTGAATTGATATTCGTTACACGGCTCGTTTCTGTCGCAATCTATAAATTATTCGAACACACATGCAAACAATGCATTATACATAATTTCAATTGTAACTTTCTCTCAGATTATTTAAACGGTATTGCAGTTGGAGTTTTAAATTTAAATTTAATTAATTTAATTTAAGTCAATTTAATATTTTCAATTTAAATTAAAGAAAGGAGATTGCGATTATCGCTTAAACAGTCGTTAGAAGATTGAGTATTTTTGAATTTTAATGATACCTGTTGAAGAGAGCGTGAAGCTTGTAAGTTTCTTTCCAAACGAAAGTGTTTACTGTATCTGTGTTGAAGCAAAATGGTTTACGAGTACTGCATGGAAAAATCGACATCGTAGAATATTGGTAGGTTTATGACACGTCCGGTAAATATGGTTTGGGGATGCCTGCGAACACCCCGGGTATAAAAGTGTACACTGTCACCACGCTCCGTAAGCAGTTCTAATTGTGCGCCCGTCTTGTCTACGTCTTGTCTGAACATCTTCTGAAATGTAATTATTTACCTAGCTTACTCCACACGAGTTATTTATTTAATACAACCCCTCAACAATCTGTAATTAGGATTGTTAAAAATATAATTCTCTCTAATTTCTGGTGACTTTTGTAAAATCCTTGCCAATATTTTCAAAGTCAAATGTGTGTTATAAAAATAATATAAATGATGCACTGACAAGGTATACTGAGCTACCGAAGCACGTCGATTTTCATGCCGTCTTGCATATTAGAGGATCCGAAAATATTGGACGTATACTCTTTAATCGACGGACATTGATGTTTAAGGGGTAAAAATAGTCCTTAAAAGGGGAGCGTAGAAAACTATTTTTCTCAATATTTCGGAAATTGTTCAGTTTTCACAACACACCTCGCACATCTTCCGTAATGCAAGAAAATTTATCTCACCGCCATATGTGACCTTCAATGATCTTTAACGATAGCAAACTAAAAAAACAAATAAAACTAATAAAAAAATAGAAATGGCCTTGAAATTTCCCCTACATCTCCACCCACGTGAGAAGCATTTACATCACATGATGTCTCCCTCCATGTCGTGCAATTTTAATATTATCGCAAATAACAGAAATATTCAAATTTTACGAATGAAAATTTTACGGATTACAAATTTGTAATTATTTAACAATTCTAATGCAAGACGAAAGCTAATGTTCATTACTTGCAATTGTACACGATCGATATGGATTCTAACATAAACATAATTCCAGCGAACTGCAAGTAGGCCAGCGAGTGAAAATATTGTGACAAACATTTTTAATATTTTTTAACAATTGCTATTTTATACTTATTTAACACTTTCAACGATTACGAGTGCGATAACAGTAGATCCTCTACGGGATACTCAAATTTGTTCATAGAAAATTGAGAGTGTGCAAAATATGAACAAATCGTTTGAACTGTATTAAGTATGTATCGCTGTGGTTATGGTCGTCTTTGTTATTGGAAAACACAGAAATGCGTGGAACAAGAAGATCCAGTTTCGCTTACATAAGAATGCAATAGAAAAGTTGTGGAGACACAAAGTAGTTGAGACACGTGTACTATGCTGTATATGCATTTGTCACCAAGGTTTTCAAAAATGATACAGTCGTTACAAAAGAGCCTATCGAAAAACTAGCACCACCTCGCAAAAAATATCGATTATTTTCACCGATTTACAATAAAAGTTCAAAGAAAATTGAAACTTTGCCAAAATGTAGCTCATAAGAAAAGGATCCTAACGATTCTCAAAACAAGTCACAATTTTTCTGTTATCAATACAATGTGTCGACCTTGCTTGTAACCTCGATTTTCCGGTAGCAAGTATCATTTCTCTATACTCCAGTGGAAATTTGTTGCACGCATGTAACATTTTTATGACTTCGTTGCGGACAAAATGAGAGCATAAACGGGGGG